AATTTGGCTAATAGCGTATCTCTATAGTAACTTAAATTAGTTGACTTTATTTGAAAAGATTTTGCAAATTTATTGCCTTGAAAAAATGAAGTTGCTTAGCAAGCTCAAATCACTCTATATTTGAGTTATAGTTAATTCCTAATTGTCAGTGAACCTGATGCATTTTCCTTCCATATAATTATGTATTTCTGAGTAAAACACAGTATCTTAGAAGGTCTGTAAGCTAGCTTAGCGTTTTCTCTCAGTGATAGGTGGGGGTGGTTGGAGGGGGAGGTGAAACATAATAACATTGTTTTTTTTGGAATTTTTGTCCACCCACTGGTGATGTGTTATATGAAATAAATGTACTAACTTTCCAGACTATGATGATGCGGAGGAGGAGCCTCAGACAGAGATGAATCATGTGACTGAGAGACCACAGCCAGTTTCTTTCCTCAGAAAATTGCATTCAAACCTCTTCAAACTCAAGAAATGATTTTATCATCAATCACAAGTCAAAATGTTTTATGGAGCATAAATGAGCTATAGCGGTTTAAACATCCCCTAATTTCTATAAACAAATTACAGTTACAAATTACACATTTTTAACACTTTCTTTGAGTTTTTTTCAATCTTAGACACTTTTACTGACACATCTCATCTGATTATAATCTTACTTTGATCTCTTAATTAAACCTTTTTTATCTTCATGAAAACATTTTGTATCTGGAGTGATAAAAGTAGTCAGATTTTATGAGAAATTATATTTTTTCAGCAAAAGCTTCGTTTCAAATTACAATTTAAAGATATGATTGTTTAAGTTTGAAGGAATTAAAACGCTGTTCATTTTCACTGTAGATCATTTTTGAGAGTAAAGAACTGAAAGATGTTCTGGTCAGAAGTGAATGTTCAGTGTTTATCAGTCAGAAAAAGGAAAGTGCTGTTTCACTGTAACTAATTTGTATGACAGCTTTCTATTTTCAGTGTTGGTATTCAAACTCACGTAGCCCCTTATAACTGTTTATAAAGCCATTATAACACATAGATTACTCACCTAATATTGTTCCAGACTGTTAAAAATGGTAACTAGCTGTTTGACTGTTTTTTTTTCATCTCAAACAAAAGTAAAATAATACTTTAATGAAACAATGTAAAGCAAAAGTTTTGTTTAAATGAACAAACACAATATTTTACATCAGTTCAAACCTCAAAAGCACTTCAAGTCAACTTTTGCCTGGTTCTACTTTTTACTGCTTACACTGTAAGAAAAGGATTCAGGACCTTCTCTCTTATGTTATTTACAAGCCTATAATGATTGTGTGACTATTATGCTGATAATTTGAGATTATTTTCACACATGATTAATAATGACTGCATATTAAATTCTGTATCTGGAGTTTCTTATGATTTAAGTGTGTAATGTGTGGAATCTATTACTGTGGTGTGAGAGATGATTCTGTACTCCTCCCTTCTCTGTGCTGATCATTAAACACAGATTATAAAGATACAGAGTATGAAGATGAGATTTATTGAGGTTTTAATTCATGTTGCCTTATTTTTCTTATTTCACATTTTCCCTTTTTCTTTTATTCCTGTTTTAATTATAAAACTGTCCTTTAGATAAATCAAATAAATCAGCAAATCACTATTTGGCTCTGTGGATTTTTATTGCAAAATAATTTCTACATCCCCTTTAAACGGAGCAATAAGTGATGTTTATGACCACAAAAATGAAACACTGTATAAAACTGATTTGTCATTCTCTTTAAGTTTCTTTCATAACATAAACACATCTGAGACTAAGACTCAAACTGCTTCAGAAGCTTCTGTGACCTATTTTATCATAAAGGGGCGGGTCCACACTCTGGTGATGTCATGTTTAGATCATGTGACAACAGGGGTGCAAACTCACCTTGGAAGATAAAGATTTGTGCTCATTGGTTAAAGCTGCTAATGCTATGCTAGTCACATTCCCATAGTTAATACTAGTGTTGTAGTACTCGAGTCAGGTCTTGGTCGCGAGACTGGTCTTGGTCTAGTCTTAGTCTTGACCTCATTGAGAGTTGGTCTTTTCTCGATCATGGGGTAAGGTGGACCAGCCGAGTCTGATAAGAGATATAAGATAAAATAATCCTTTATTAGTCCCACAACGGGGACCTTCACAGTGCTAAAGCAGCAAAGGGAGAGCAAGGCACTCAAGAAACAGTAGTAACAAGAAAAGAATTAACAAAGTAATTAACCTTGATAATTAATATGGTTACAGTTTGTTATTTGTTACTGTATAGACAATATATATAATATTAAAAATATAAAAACATATTTAAAAGATATATTAAAGATACATAAAGATATAAGATAAAAAATATAAACTCCATCTTTCACATAAACTCTTCACAAAAAGAAAAAAAAATTAAACAATCATAAATAAAAAAGCATGATGCCTCCATATGAGGTAAGTAGAAGCTGAATTATTATTGAATATCAATAAGAACAAACAGGGCTTTCTCTGTGCACTAAACTCTACCAGAAAATGTTACTGGCATCAATAGAATAATAATGTTACTGAAAGCTGTAGTTTACTCTTCATATTGTTATCATTAACTTCTCCCTAAACAGTCATTTTTACTGTAATTTGTAATGGACAATGTAGTAATATTTGACTTGTACTTATTTACTTACTTATATAAGTAATGATTCTACATGTACAATTAATTACAATCAATTTATATTTTTTTCCTGAAAAAAACCTTAATCTGGTCTCAGTTTTATCAGTCTCAGCCACTCCTGGTCTCAATCTTCACTCAGACTCGACCGCTAAAAGTCTTGATCTTGACTTGGACACAATGTGTCCTGGTCTCAGTCTTAACTAAGACCTAGCAGTTTTGACTACAACCCAAGTTAATATAATGCAGTACCTGACAGGTGTGTTGCATGTTGATGAATACTGAATGGAAAAAAAAATGATCAAGGAGAATCGTCACTCTTTATGTGCAGAAAATGGTGGGGGGAGTTGGCAGTAAGTAACTTTAGACCAAGAAAAGAATGAAAAAAAACAAAGAAGGAAGACCAGCATTGCAAAGAACCCTGGAACCCAGCTGCACAGAGCAGACAAAAACTGGGTGAGGAGGAATCTGCTTCTATGTCAAGGAACACTGGTGTAAAGACGTCATGGTACTGTTAAAATCTTGCACTCCTCATCTAGAGTTACATCAACACTCAGAGTCTGATGGCCAACCAAATAATGACAGTAGAGAGAGGGATTTGGGACTCAGTACATCCTTCTGAGAGACTTTAATAGTGCAAATCTAATGAAAGAAGTGCCAAAGTACAGACAGCATGTCACTTGTGCACGAGAGAAGGCAACATTTGGATCAGTGTTACACCACTGTTAAAAATGCCTGTTGCGCTGTCACGCGCACAGCTCTCAGTCATTCTCACCACAGTCTCGTTCACCTCATCCCATCATACAGACAGAAACTCAAAACCAACAAGCCTGTCATCTCTACAGTGAAGAGATGGACCAGTGGAGAAAAGCTACAGGGCTGCTTTGAATCCACAAACTGGACAGTTTTTGAAGAGGTGACAGACAGCCTAGATCAATATACAGACACCATGACATCATACATCAGTTTCTACGAGGACAGCTGCATTTCAACAGTGTGGGTGAAATACAGCGAGGATAAACCAAGTTATTCAGCTGACCTCAGCCTCAGAGGGAAAAGGAGGCAGCATTCAGAAGTGGGAGAAGAATTCTCTACAGGCCAAATATAAGATAGAGGAAGGACTACAAGGTGAGACAAACTCGCCTCCTCCTGAGCGACTGCCAGCTCACCATCGACCAGAATGATTTCTGTGCAGATCCGAACACACAAATGACAATCTTCACAAGACTTCTCTGCCAGTACCTCAACCTTACCACCACCCTGGCTCCTCTGCACCTCTGCCCATTGCCCCTCCCCCGAGCAGGATGAGCAGGACGTTAACAGGCTTTTTAGAGGACAGAAAAGGTGAGAAAAACTCTGGGGCCAGACAGAGTCTCTTCATCCACCCTAAAGCACTGCTGTGACCAACTAGCACTGCTTTTCACCATCTACAACAAATTACTGGAACTTTGCTCTGTTCCCATGTGCTTGAAAACTGTGACATCACACCTGTTGAGAATTGCTGCTTGGAAGTTTATTTACATTGAATTCTTTTCAAATTTCATATGTCTCAGAGGACACAGTAGCAATGACAGCACATCAGCAGTCATGTCAAAATAGTGCATTAAAAACAGACGTCACAGACGGATATTAGTGCTCTGCTGCCCTCTTGTGTAGAAAAATAATCATTGCAGTTATAAATGTCTCTAAGAACTAATATAAACTTACATGGATCTAGGTTAAAGTTAATGATTATGTTAAAACACATTGTGTTCTCTTTATTAAATCACAGTTTATTCTGTATTTTTATTTTTTATTTATGGTTTACTAACATTTTGTTCTCTATATGACAAAAAAAAATGTCCAAAGAAAACCACTATTTACTCATTATTTACTCACTGTTCACTTCTCTACTGATAATTGAGATCATTTATTTATTGTATTAATAGTCAGTTAGTTGACTTTATTTTTTTCATTTCTGGGTTTCTCTGTGTTGTAACTCAGAGCAGTGTGTGTGAGATGGTTATCAGTGTGTGGATCAGCTCTCTGCAGGTGCAGCATTAATGCTGTATTACACTGGAGTGTTTCCTCTCTCTGAAGTCAGTCTCCTGTATGTTGGTGTGTTTCTCACCACACTGCTGTGAGCATCTCTCCTCACACACACACCTCTAGAGACGGAGGTGGAGATCTGTTCATCAGTGCTGACGCTCTTTTGATAAATATGGAGAAAGAAAAAAATGCCTCCTCTGATTTGTCACTGAAAATGTTTGATGATTTCCTCTTCTCTTTCTAATAAGGTCATAGTGAGTGTGATTGGTGGCTGAGGGGAGCTCTCTCTCTCTCTCTCTCTCTCAGTTTCTTCAGTCTCTCTGGGGGAGTGGAAGTGAAGCTTGTTCTACTGCTGAGTTGAACGGACTGTGTGCAGATCAGAGGGAGATGGACACCTGGGTGGTTCTTATTCTTCTGTCCTCCACAATCACACTCACCACAGCCAGTAAGTACACTGTCACTGGTAAGTATTTAATGAGATATACAGTTGTAAATCTCTTTCTTTTTTCTTTGCATATTCAGTTAGTAGTTTTATTATTGTATAATGGAATATATCATTTGGAAAGGGAAAGCAGTTTGACGATTTTACAAAATACGTCAAACAAGGGCTATAAGTAAAAGTCACTTCTCACTCTTAATGTGTGTCTCACAGTGCTACTGTGTGACAATACCAGGCTAAAAAGTCTCCAACACATTTTGTCCTGCTCAGGCAGCACTTCTTCTCTATAATTTGGTAGTTTGAGAGATTATCATTAACTTTAACATTTTAAAACATTCCCATTGTATATTTTTCCTTACATCTCTTAATAAATCAGTGACCAACTAATTTATAAAAACAACTAATTTATGACAAATAATTTAGTTATTGTTTGATTGATTGATTGATTGACTGATTGATTAAAACTGCACAGAAAACAATATACTGTGTCTTGTCAGACCAGATAACATTATCAAATCTCTCTCTCTCTCTCTCTCTCTCTCTCTCTCTCTCTCTCTGTCTCTCTCTGTCTCTCTCTCTCTGTTGTACAGTCAGTGTGAGGTTAGTGGATGGTGGCAGCCGCTGTGCTGGGAGAGTGGAAGTTTCTGATAAAGGACAGTGGGGAACAGTGTGTAGTGATGACTGGGATATGAGTGATGCTGCAGTGGTGTGTAGAGAGCTGGGCTGTGGAGAGGCTGAAGATGCACTGAGTGATGCGCACTTTGGACCAGGATTAGGACCAATCTGGATGGATGATGTAGACTGTAGTGGATTAGAGTCTACACTGAAGGACTGTATTTTAGTTGGGTGGGAGGAATCTGACTGTGATCATGATGAAGATGCTGGAGTCATCTGCTCAGGTAAGCTGCTGTCAGTCATTTGATCCACCAATAATAATTCATCTAAATATCAACTTTCACATCATTCTTAAATAAGAGTTCCTGATAGAGTCTGTACAAAAGGAAAAAATGCATAACATTATAAAATTAGTAATATTATTTGTTAATGAATCATCATTTGTTTTTGAATGAATGAACCTGCAATATATGAGTTTAACTAGTAAAAGCAGTAGACTGGCTAACACTCACAACACAATGCACTTCCTTCACTGTTCATAATGTGATCATCCATGAGTGAGGGTGTGCATGTTTATTATAATTTTTATAAGTTTATAATTTTATAAGTTTTATTATGGCAATTTTGCAAGTAAATATTTGACCTGTTAGATTGTTTTAATTAATTTGTTAAACATCAACATAATCAATGCTTGGGTCCCCAAGATGGGGGTGGGGTGGGTAATTCCATCTGGTAACAAAATACCATCAGTTTTATTCTTAAAAAAAAACAAAACCCTCACCACTGTCACCTTTTCATTTTTCTCCAAAGTGTCAAATGTATATAAATCTATTATGTTTTCTATGCTGTGCACACTCTTAATGTAATTCATACATACAGGTCACAGAAAGTCTAGACTTGCTGATGGTCCTCATCCCTGCTCTGGGAGAGTGGAGGTGCTTCATGGAGAAACCTGGTCCACAGTGTGTGATGCTGACTTTGACCAGCAGGATGCAAAGGTTGTGTGTCGAGAGCTGGGCTGTGGTCTTCCTGTGGAAGTGCTGGGAGCAGCAGCTTTTGGCAGAGGGGAGGGTCAGGTGTGGTCAGAGGAGCTTCAGTGTAGAGGCAACGAATCTGACATTACTCTCTGTCCAACATCATCTTCAGTTAATCACAAATGCACTCATGACAGTGATGTTGGACTGATGTGCTCTGGTAAAGAATGAATATTTAAGCTTGCCTTAAAAGAAAACTTTCTGTTAATTTTAACACATTAGAACATTATAAGAGCAATTAATTTTCCCTTATTTATGCTGATTCATGTTAAGTAATGTTCATTCAGGTTTCATGCAAGCTTGGCTTGTGAACGGCTCTGACTCCTGTTCTGGTCGAGTGGAGCTCCAGTACCTCAGTGAGTGGGGCACAGTGTGTGATGTAAGCTGGGATATGAGAGCTGCCAGTGTCCTCTGTGGTCAACTGGAGTGTGGGAGTTCTGTGGCTGTGTTGGGGTCAGACCGGTTTGGGAAGGGGAGTGGCCGGATCTGGGCTGATGTGTTTGATTGTCAGGGGAACGAAACACACCTGTCAAAATGTCCCATTTCATCATGGAGTCGATCTGCATGCTCTCATAAACAGGATGCTGGTGTCATCTGCAGTGGTGAGTGGCGATCAAAGTCTTTCATGGAAACTACATAAAATTCTGTTTTTTTAGGTCTGTTGCCTCCTTAATCAAAAAAAAAAAAGAAATCTGTACTTTATTGCATAAATTCTCTTCAGGTTCCTCTCTGGCGTTTCATGAGGGGCGAGTGCGGTTGTCTGGAGGGATGGAGTGTGAGGGGGAGGTGGAGGTGTACTTCAGGCAGGACTGGAGGAGAGTTCTGCTGGACTCCTGGAGTGAGTCTGAGGCCTCTGTGGTCTGCAGACAGCTGGGCTGTGGCTCAGTGTTCAGCTTCTCCAGCTCTTCTACATCCAGTCCTGAACACAGTCACATGTGTGTGACGAGTTTCAGTTGTTCTGGGAGTGAAGCTCATCTGGGGAACTGCAGCAGTGCACAAGCAGTCAACTGCAGCTCCAGAGAACAGCTCTCAATCACCTGCTCTGGTAGGAATTACAGCAGTTAAATAATAAAAGGTGCTAAGAATCTTCCAATAAACATTCTCCCCAAAATATATTGTAATTTTAACTGTTCATTTCAAAGTCAGGACATGAACTGCTGTGTCTTTATAAGTGTGGGTGTGTGTGTGTGTGTGTGTGATGTGTGTGTGTGTGTGTGTGTATAGGTAAGTTTAATTTAGCTCACAACTCCATCAGACTGGTTGGTTCTGGGGGAGACTGCGCAGGAAGGCTGGAGGTTTTCCACCGTGGCTTATGGGGGACTGTGAGTGATGACTTGTGGGACATTAAAGATGCACAGGTGGTCTGCAGACAGCTGCAGTGTGGAGTGGCCCTCAGTGCTCTGGTACCTGCCCGGTTTGGACTTGGAACTGGACCCATATGGCTGAATGAAGTGGAGTGTGAGGGGAACGAGACGTCCCTGTGGAACTGCAGGTTTCAGCTGTGTGGAGAGAACGAATGCGGGCACAAAGATGATGTAGGAGTCGTGTGTTCAGGTAAAATAATCCTTAGAAAGTTAAGGTTTGTACAAGTAAGCAATCTTTATTTTAAATGTTCATAGGATACCAGATACTGAATGAATGAAAAAAAAAAAAAATTACAGTAAAGATTTCACTCAGTAAAAGTCATCTTTATTTCACCAGAGTTTAAAGAGATCAGACTCACTGAGGGCTGTCAGGGGAATCTGGAAGTGTTCTACAATGGAACCTGGGGTAATGTGTGTGTAAATGGAATAGAGGAAGAAACGATAAGTTTAATCTGCCAGAAGCTGAACTGTGGAAGATCTGGTAGAGAGAGACCTGCCAGAGCAAGAGTGGAATCAGCTCCTAACTGGCTGGATAATTTGAAATGTAGGAGACACGACTCCACTCTGTGGCACTGTCCATCTTCACCCTGGAGACAGAATAGTTGTGATTATCGCAATGAAGTGGCTTACATTACCTGCTCAGGTAGACAGCTTGAGGTGGTTTTATATGTTGTTCTCTGCATGTTAGCAGTAAATGTCCTGAAGAATTAGAAATAAAACAGGCTCTAATATCTAAATATGCTAAATGGACAAAAGTATTGGGACACCAATACGCATTACACCCACAGGAGCTTTTATGAAATGCCATTTTAAATCCATTGGTATTAATATGGAGTTGGTCCCCCTTTGCAACAACTTCCACTCTTCTGGGAGACTTTCTACAATATTTTAGAGTGTGTCTGTGGGATTTTTGCCCATTCATCCAGAAGAGCATTTGTGAGGTCAGACACTAATGTTGGACGAGAGGACCTGGCTCACAATCTCCAATCTAGTTCATCCGAAAAGTGTTCAGTAGGGTTGGGGTCAGGGCTCTGTGTGGGCCAGTCAAGTTCTTCCACATTAAACCCATCCAGACATGCCATTATGAACCTTTTTTGTGGACTAGAGCACAGTCATGCTGGAACAGAAAAGGGCCTTCCCCAACTGTTACCACAAAGTTGTAAGCATACAATTGTCCAAAATATCTTGGTATGCTGAGTCATTAAGATTTCCCTTCACTGGACCTAAGGAGTCTAGGCCAACCTCTGAAAAACAACCCCACAGCATTATCCCTCCTTGACTTTACACTTGGCACAATGTGGTCAGGCAGGTAATGGACTTGTACATCAGACTGCCAAATAGAGCAGTGTGATTCTTCTACAGAATGTGTTTTTACTGCTCCAGAGTTCAGGGGCAGTGTGCTTTACACCACTACACCACAGTCGCTTCAGCACTCACTGCTCAGCCACAAAGCAGTAGACCACGCAAACTCACAGAGTGGGGACTCTGTGAGTTTGCGTGGTCTACTGCTTTGTGGCTGAGCTGTTGTTGCTTCAAGATGCTTCCATTTCACAATAACAGAACTTACAGTTTACAGGTGCAGATCTAGCAGGACAGAAATTTCAAAAACTGACTTGTGGCAGTGGCATCCTATGACAGTTATGTGCTTAATTTAATCCACCTATTAGCAATGGGTGTGACTGAAACACCGGAACTCAATAATTAGGAAGTGTGTCCCAATACTTTTGTCTACATAGTGTATCCATGTCTATACTTTTTGGGGGCAACCAGATTATCAACAAACTACAAGTGTAAAGCTCAGTTATTACTGGATTAATCAATGATTATCTTTTAATATTTAAAGAAGAGGAAAATCGTGAATCACAAAGCCATCTGAAATGCTCTTCATCCTCCCGTCACAGACGGTGCTCAAGTAAGGACTACTGCAAACGGATCTTGTAAATATTTGCTTTTGTTATATGTTATTTGGATTAATCACAAGTGTTGCATTAAGTAACTGTTAAGTAGTTCAACGATCATCATCATCATCATCTCCTCATGTGTGATGTGTGTGATGTAGATCACCTGCCCCTCAGGCTGAAGGGAGGAAACGGAAGCTGCTCTGGGAGGCTGGAGGTGTTTAATAACGCTGAGTGGGGGTCTGTCTGTGATTATCAGTGGGACATCAGGGAGGCTCGGGTGGTCTGCAGGCAGCTGGGCTGTGGGCCAGCGCTGAGTGCTGATGGGAGTGCTGTCTTTGGTGCTGGTGAAGGGCCTATCTGGCTGAACAGAGTGAAGTGTAGAGGGAATGAGATTCACCTGTGGGACTGTCCTCATTCCCTGAAGAACCACACTGACTGCTCCCACAGGCAGGACGCTGGAGTCACCTGTGCAGGTCAGAGGAGGCTGCTGGATTCTGAGTTTCTAAATTCACACATCAAAACACTATTTATACTGTAAAGTACAATAATATTGTGTTATTTATGTGCAGAGTGACTATAATCATTTTTGTTAATGTTGTGTAATATTATTTTGTCATAATCCGTTTTTAAAATTTAAGAATCAGAATCAGAATTGTCAGATAACACTTTTAGCTTTAGTGAATATATATATTTGTATTTTGTGTGTTGTTGGCTTTTAGTCTTTGTGTTTTGTTTCTGTATTTACAGTGATTTCCAAAGCTACTACTACTGTACCCACAAGAAAACTCATCACCTCCACAACTACAGGTGCTACGTTTGTTTCCCAGGTGTTTTTTTCTAATTGTTTCTGAATAGATTGTTCAGTGCTCTACACAGTTTCTATTCTGTATTTTTATTTGCAGTTGGTCAGACAGTGAACAGAACAAGCACTCTTTCACAAACGCTTTCACCAGCTGTACCGTCCATCTATCCAGTGTCTCTCCTGGTTCTGGGAGCAGTGCTCTTCCTGGCCTTAGTGCTTCTTGTTGTGCTGTTTTACCAGAACAGAGTGCTCAGGAGAGGTAGAGACATTCAGAGATCATCTACAATCCACTTTCTGTACATTCTCTAAACATCATTAGTCCTTCAATCTGTCATCAGTCTTCTCTTCTACTGAACTGGCTCAACGTTTTTCTCTGTCTCCCTCACAGTGCTCTCTAAGAGGAGGCGTAAGACCCTGACTGAGGCAGTCTATGAGGAGATCGACCGCAGATACATCACTAAAAGAAATGACTTGACTCAAAGAGGTAAGTGCAGAACTGGAAAGTAGTAATTTACACTTCCTCTTGTTACAGTACTTAAGTACAGTTTTCCCTTTAACTGTACTTTTTAAAAAAGAATTCAATCATAGCACTTTCATTTAATTCATTTCTAGTAAAGTGCTTTTACTTTGCTAATATAAGTACTTTTAATTTTACCATTAAAAAAGAGTAGAAATAAATGTGCATTTCAGCTCATCAACCAATTAGAAGAAATCCTAGTTAAATTTGAAAGATTTCGTTCTGAAAGCCAATCAAAACAGAGTAGCTTCCAAAACCACTTCAGCCCTGATGAGTTCAGAGATTCAGGTCAAGTTTATTGGGTGAAGAAGCACACGAGGAACATACTTTGATCAGACATCTCCATTTGTTTTAAAACACACCTCCTGACACCTGCTGAGGTCTTCGCTTTGAATAACCCAACTACTGCCTGAGGAAAAAGACATTTGCTGACTGATTGCAGGTCTTAACTAAACAAGTGTTTACAAGTGTCTTCTTTCTTTGTTATCTTAAAACAAATGGCAACTGTTTATTAAGCTGTTTATTAAGCTGAGCCTGTGATCTAGCTACTTTAGTTAACATAGCTGTCAACTCATGCAGTTCCCACATAGAAAATACGGTTTTGTCCCGGTTTTGCTGGTATATGTGTGTGTCATGCTGTTATTCGGAAATCTTGTCCAATAGAGTTTTTCCATAATTATGTGGCACTCTGATGTTTTTTGTTTGTTTTTATTTGAAAGACTTACTATCCTAAACAGTTATCTTATCAGACTGTGAGTCCTGGAGTATGGCTAATTTGCCATATGCACACTGTAAACAGATATTACTTCAGGTAGTGCATTCAGTAAAGCAATAATATGCATAGTATTCTTGCATGTGGTTTTGGATGGAGTGTTGTACAAGACTCCACAAACGGCACCCAAACCTGAAACAAGCATGTAGCTTTTATCACTTCAATCACTGCAATATTCTCTGTGATGTATGATAAGTACAGTATTATGTTAGAGATTTTTTACCTAAGTAAGGTGAGTGATATATGGAGCGTTCTACGACTTGTATTCAGTTAAAGTATACAAACATTAGACACAACAGAATACATAACAAAATAATGCATGCTTTGTTGCCCAGTAATCATAGCAATATTTATTGTTCTTGAATAATGATTTAACAGATTACCAATTTAGAGTGTTGAATCATTTTTTTTTAATATTTCTTTCTCAGTGTATTAATAATAATAAATCAGTTAAATGAGATTTTAGTGTATATTAGATGAAATGTGCAGTTAGAGTAGATCTACATGTAGTGTAGTGTGTTAATTCTGCTGATAAGCATCTATTAGGCAGCTGAAGTTAAACTGTGCGATTCCTGTAACACCCCCCCTTTTTTTTCACTGTGTGAGAGAGATGAGGGGAGGATGGATTTGTGTGTGTGCATGTGTGTGTGTGTGTGTGTGTGTGTGTGTGTGTGTGAGTGAAAGTGGAAGAGTGTATGTGTGACCGAGACAGTGCCTGAATGAGAGGGCAAGTGAATGACAGATGTATGACTGAGTTAGCGACTGAGTGTGTCAGTGACCAAGTTAGCCAAATGTCTGAGTGAATGCCGACCAAGTGACCACTTGAGTGACTGAGTAGGTGACCAAGTGATCAAATTAGTGACAGAGTACGTGACTGCAGCACAGCGTGTGCTACCCCGGGAGAAGGAATGACACTAGATGCAGGAGTGAGCCAGCATTTTCTTTAATTTTCACACAAAACAAACAAAAACCACGCAAAACCAAAACTCAAAGCTGGCCACTTCTCAGTGGCTTTTGGCTAGAATTTTCAGTTCTTTTCCTCTCTCACATGTGAGCTCCTTAGCTCGCCAGTTCTTACTGCTGCTGCTCTTCCCTTTTCTCCCTGAGTGAATCACTGAGTAGGTAACTAAGTGACCAGGTGATTGAACAATCAAGGGAGTGTCCTCATATCCAGTTGAGTGACTGAGTAGGTGACCAAGCGATTAAGTGAATGGGTGACCAAGTCAGTGACCAGATGTCAGAGTGTGACTGAGTGAGTGACTAAGTGACCAGTGGAGAGAAAAGGAATAGGTGACTGGGTGACAGAGAGAGAGTAACCAAAAAGTTGGTGACCAATTGACCAAATGAGGGACCAAACAGGTGACCAAGAGATTGACTGAGTGACCAAGTAAGTGACCACATGACCAAGTGAATGATTGAGTGAGTGAGTGGGTGAGTGAGTGAGTGACAGAGTAGGTGAGCAAATGACAGAGTAAGGGAGGGACCAAGTGTGTGGCCGAGTGATCAACTGTCCAAGTGTGTGACCAAGCAGATGACCAAGTGACTGAATAAGTGACCTAAAAACAGTGTGACTGACTAAATGACCAAGTGGCCGAAGGGTCCAAGTGAGTGACTGAGTAGGTGACTAAATGACTACGTAGTTGACCAGTTGACCGAGTGAATGATCTAGAGACAGAGTGATTGAGTGTGTGCGTGACTGAGTGACCAAGAGGCCAAATGTCAGAATGAGTGACCAAATGACCAAGTGAGCAACCAAGTCACAGGGTTAGCCAGTGATGGAGTATAGGA